GATAGATAGATGGATAGATAGATGGATAGATAGATGGATAGATAGATGGATAGATAGATGGATAGATAGATGGATAGATAGATGGATAGATAGATGGATAGATAGATGGATAGATAGATGGATAGATAGATAGATAGATAGATAGATAGATAGATAGATAGATAGATAGATAGATAGATAGATAGATAGATAGATAGACAAACGATAGGTAAACAGAGATGGCTAGACAGACAGACAGGTTTTGTATCTTCCCATGATTACTCTACAGTAGACTGCTAGGTTTAGTTGACTAGCAGTGTGTTTCTCACCCGTTGTCGCTCAGGTTCAGGAGTGTGGCGTTCTGCGGTCCGCTGAAGGCGCTGGGATCGAGTCTGGGAATCGCGTTGCCGGTGATGATCAGGCTGCTCGCGTCGCGTGGGATCGCGGCAGACGCGCAGCGCACCGTCCGCGGAGCGTCAGAACACTCGCAGCGCGGCGGACACGACGCGACGCACGCGGAGACGCACAGCATCGCGCAGACGAGCGTCAGCGGCATCATCCTCGCGGTCCGGAGTCAGTGCACATGCTGTCTCACTAACAGACTGAGCAGAAACACCTCTGATCTCTGAGATATGAGCGCGAGAGGGAGGGTGGAGCTGGATATACTCCACAACACAGCCATCCTGATCAGAGGGAGCACTTACACAGCAGCTTGTTCTGAGTTCAGATGTAAAGTGCACTGTTGGGAAATATTAACAGCACTCATCTTTCCTTTGTCATGCATTCAATTCCCAACTATACAGCTGAAGAAAAAAATTTTTTTCACAAATTTTACAATCAAAACAGTTGTTGGGTTTAAAATGCTAAAGCACTTACTGTTGAAGATGAAGACAGTATTAGTTAGTGCATGGAGTTTGTAATGTGATTCTGTGTGAACTTGAGACACAGCCACTAAAAATGAACAAATGCATTTGATTCAAACACATTCAGACGAATCAAACATCATGCAGAAAAGTATGGAGGCTTGTTTCCAGATACAAAAAATTTAATTTGATATCTCACAATTCTTTGTTTCTTGCACTTTTTTGTCATATCAAGTCAGAATTATGAGATAAAAAGTCAGAATTAACTTTATTTTTAATTCCGTTGCAGAACAAATAAAAAAAGCAGAATTGCGAGATGTAAACTCTGTAAAAATTCTGGGTTTATATCTTGAAATTCTGACTTTTTCTCAGAATTGTTTATATAAACTTTATTTCTCACAATGTTTTTTCAGAATTTTTCTGAAATGTCAGAATTGTGTGATGAGAAAGTTACAGCTTTCTTTGTAATTTTAAATTCTGCGGCAGAAACAAAAAAGGAACAGAATTGCAAGATGTCAGAATTCTGAGAGAAAGGTCAAAATTCCGAGTTTATAGATCAAAGGTCTAACTTTTTCTCATAATGCTAAGTTGATATCTTGCAATTACATTTTGTTTTCTCAGAACTGCAAAAAAAAAAAGTAGTCAAAATTACCTTTTTTATTTTTAATTCTGCTGCGGAATTGCGAGCTGTAAACTGAGAATACTGAGAAATTCTTAGTCTATATCGTGCAATTCTGATTGTTTATATAAAGTTTATTTCTCACATTTCCCCCCCCCCCAGAATTTTTCTGAAATGTCAGAATTGCGAGATGAAAAAGTTACAATTTCCTTTTTTTTTTTTTTAAATGTTTTTAAAATTTTTATTTCTGTGGCGGAAACAAAAAAGAAACACAATTGCAAGATGTAAAGTCAGAATTGCGAGACAAAGGTTTATATATAAAAAACTTTCTTGCACCTCTTTTAATTTTTAATTCTGTGGCAGAAATAAAAACAGAATTGCGTGTAAAGTCAGAATTCTGAGGAAAAAAGCTGCACGATGTAAACTTGGAAAACTTGAAAAAAGTCCAATCTGTGAGCTAAAAGGTCACAATCCTGTGGTGGAAATGGCCTTTAATAGTACAGTGGCACTACTGAAGAGAAAAGATCCTGCACTAACAACACTAGCAAACTCTTGAGTTTTAAGGCTCGAGAAGATGGGCTGGTTTAGAGCGGGTTTAGTCACCATGGTAACTTACTACACAGCTTCCCTGCTCCAGAGCAGGCTTTATTCTGGGTTAGACATCTGGAACCCAAACTGGACCAATCAGCTGTGAGCAAAGTGACATACATCTGATGTTTTCTTTTCAATCAGATCTGTTGTTTTAGCATTACAACCACGATAACGTGTGAGCTTGCTTTCTTTACAATATTATACATCACCCTGCAGCACAAAAGCAGTGTTAAGTCGCTGGGGGATATTTGTAGCAATAGCCAACAATACATTGTATGGGTCACAATTATACATTTCTCTTTTATGCCAAAAATCATTAGGATATTAAGTAAAGATCATGTTCCATGAAGATATTATGTACATTTCCTACCGTAAATATATCAAAACTTTATGTTTGATTAGTAATATGCATTGCTAAGAACTTCATTTGGACAACTTTAAAGATGATTTTCTCAATATTTAGATTTTTTTGCACCCTCAGATTCCAGATTTTCAAATATTGTCCTCTCCTAACAAACCATACATCAGTGGAAAGCTTATTTAATCAGCTTTCAGATGATGCATACATCTCAATTTTAAAAAAAATTTACCCTTATGACTGGTTTTGTGCTCCAGGGTCACATATAGACAATAGACTGTAAAGTAAACAGTCATAATTCATCAACAGTAGATCGAAAGCAATCATGTGGCATTGTTATTGCAAACTGCTCTGAAACCACGAGCCTGTAGAATGTGAGACAGTGCCACATTTTGACGTTTAATTAATTAAATAGTAACATTGCATGCTCTATTGCAATTCCTAGTTTTAAAACCTCTTAAAAGGATTGGGACCCTGTAACTGGGAAAGCTGTAATGAGTGCACAAGTAATGCATGAAAACATGTGCGCTAGCGGGATTACACGTGCATGTGTTCACAGTAGTTTGCTAATAGTTAGAATTATTGGCCACAACTGAGCCCTGAAAGTCTGTATCGGCGCATCCTCAGCTATAGAATATCTTTGTTTTTAGTCTGAGGCTTAAGATACTTTTTAAAGCCATGAAGACTGAATTTCAAGTTCAGCTAATTACACCGTGGCCCTTTAATTAGAGATGGAGGATCTGTCTGGCGAACGATCAAAGGTGCGCGAGTCTTTTCCCCAAACGGACACCAGGAGTCTTTCTGTGGTCTTATCTAACCTTTCCGTGTTTCCTCTGTGTTTCTTCCTCAGCTAAAAGCCCTTGGATTCCCAGAAGGACTCGTTATACAGGCCTACTTTGCTTGTGAGAAGAATGAAAATTTGGCTGCAAACTTCCTTTTACAACAGAACTTTGATGATGATTAGACGAGTGGCACCCCGATCATTTTCCCCTCTTATGTTTTGTTTGTTTTCTTTTTTTGAGTGATAATTTTGGTGAAGAAAATCTATAAAATACACACACACTGGCTGTCATATTCTGTCTAAATTTTACACACTGGATGACATGATCACATCCGTCTGGAGAAATCAGTAAAAGCCTCTCTGCTTCATCTAACACTTGCCTGCGTGATACCTGTTTGTTTTTCATTTTAGTCTTTTTTTATCACCATTAAAGAGCATCGTTTTCTCCATCGTTAGGGCATGTTGGCAGGTTCAAGGGGCTCGTGAAATTAGTTGTCCATGAATTAGGAATCCGGATTGATCGG